CCCAGCCCCTTGCACACTCACAGCCTGGGTTCTGTTTCCAGAGGCTTTTCCGTTGGCATCTTGACCACCGACTCTGCCAAAACCTGCCAGGTCATAGCCGAGAATTCGAAAGTGCAGGTCATTGTGGTGGACGGCACTGTGCAGCTGCAGAAGGTGACCCAGGTCAAAGGGGGCTGGTGGGGACTCAGGGCCCGGTGGGCCTTGGTGGGGAGGAGGGCTGGTGTGGTGGGCTGGGCTTAACAGAGAGGAGCTCGGTCCTTCCAGCAGTCGCAGCAGCACCCGTGAGGGAGTGCCGGTCCTGGGCCTCCACTGAGGGTCAAGTGGTTTGCTCTTCCTGCTGAGTCAGCCCCCAAACACCACCGACAGCTCCCCCCGGGCAAAAGAGCCCAGGCCATGTTGGCTCCTGGCTGACTTTCCAACCAGTCCAAAGCCAGAGACAAGATCAATCCAAACTCAAGGGCAACTCCTGTCCCTCAGAAGAAGGACCAGTGCTTTGGATGAACTGTTGGTAGCCCCCTCCCCCCCTCAATGATTCAAAGAAGGAACTTCAATCCACCTCTGTTGCCAGGTTAACAGAAACTCAAGAGGGCTTGAAGAATTCCACTTCCTAGAAAATGACGAAAACAGCATGGCTTACGAGGAGTCTGGGTGTGCATTTGGGCTCTTTAGGATTAAAAAAGAAATGAAACAAACAGGCGGGCATGAGACCAGAGTGGGGCAGTGTCCAGCTACCAAGACATCCAGGGTTCTCTGTGAAGGATTCCTGATCAAAAGGCGGCGGTGGGTGGGAGGTACGTGGAACAGAATTTCAAAGGATCATGAAACCCAGACTTTGGGGAGTCATTGAGACTGAGTGATTCTGCGACCCTGCTCCAAACCACTGCTCTGAGAACGTCGTTGGAGCCTAAACGGAGATGATCCACTAAATCCGTCTCGAACTTCACCCAGTTTGAGAGGAAGACCTGTCTGATCTCAACAACTCCAAAGGCTTGACAGGAGGCTTTAGGGAGGCGGGGCAGCCAAAAAGGTGGCACAGATGTCACCAATATCCCTCAATCGAACACGTGGAAACTATTGAGGTGCGATCGGTGTGCTGTGTTGTACAGGATAAATGAGGAAGAAACACTCACATGCTGAGCATAACTCACTAAAACCTACTTTCTCAAGTCTGTAAGCGTTTGCTGTTACACACAGCAACCCTGGGGAACCGTGACTGAGTACTTCCTAGCTACCAGGAATGAAGCGGCGTTGTTATCCCATCTAGTTGGGCCTGGCTCAGAGCAACCCTACGCACCACGGAACGAGGCTCTGGTCCCGCACCATCCTCGCCCTCCTTCCTCTGTCTGACCCATTGTGGCAGCCACTGTGTCATCCACCTCACATGGGTCTTCCTCGTCTATCACTGACCTTCCCCTTGACCAAGCACGGTGTCCTTCTCCGGGGACTGGTCTCTCCTGACAACGTGTCCACAGGACGTGAGACGAAGTCTCGCCATCCTTGCTTCCAAGGAGCGTTCTGGCCATACTTCTCCCAAGACCGACCGGCTTCTCCTTCAAGCAGTCCATGGTACGGTCAATTCTTTGCCAGGACCTTAACACCGGAACACAGCTGGGCCAAGAAGCAGGATCAAGCAGGATCATGAGAAAGCCAGGAAAGGTCGACATGGCCAAGGTTTTCACCTTGCTTGAATCCACAGTCCATGCTCACAGAAGCAGCAGGCAAAAGACCACACGGCATGTGCTGTGGACCTGATCCACTGCACAAGGCCGCCTTCAAGCGTCCAGGCACAAAGGTGGAGGACTCAGGCAGGCCGGACCCAAGGCACCATAATTTCAATCACCGCCTAGGCCTTGCGTAAGGAACACCGGAGGAGAATAGACACCTTTGGGTGGCGGTGAGGGTGCGGTCCTGGGTCTGATACGTGTATTGAACGGTCAAAGTGCTCAGAAAGCTCGGCGCTGTGAACCGTGCTGCGGGTCTCACGGGCAGCCCCCCTTGGGAGTCAGGCTCTGGAACTTGCCCCTCCTCTCTGCTGGCTGAACCCTAATGTCTTGCAGATACAAGGTTTCCTGAAGTCCATCAAAGCGGTCGTGCAGTACAAGGAGGACATCCGAGCGAAGCTTCCCAACCTTTATTCCGTGCGTTCCCAGCCCAGGAGGGCGGGGGCTGGGCGGCCAGGCTCAAGCAGCGTGGAGGCCTGAGGTCTCCGGCAGTGGGCGTGCTCGGGTGGGCGTGGCCGGGGCGGGGCAGCCCGAGAGCCCATGGGCCTCTCCGCAGTGGAGCGCGTTCCTGGCCCTGGCGGTGAACGTCTCCGATGAAATGCTGGACCACGTCATTGACTCTCAGAAGCCTAACCAGTGCTGCACGCTGGTGTACAGCCACACCACCTCGGGTCCCCCCAAGGCCATCATGCTCAGCCACGACAACGTGGGTGTCCCTCCCGCAGGGGGCGCTGGGGTGGAGGGCGGAACCAAGGGGCCTGGGGTGACCAGACCAAGCTCTTTCAGATCACCTGGACCACCTCGGCCATCGTGCAAAGCCTCTCTTTCAACTGCCCCCCCGAGGGACAGGAGACCATGGTGAGCTACCTCCCGCTCAGCTGCTTCAGCTCACAGCTCTTCGACGTGTGGGTCTCCATCTACGTGGCCGGGGTGCTCTACTTCGCCGAGCCGGACGCCCTGCGGGTGAGCACACCCCCCCTCGCCCTGAGCAGATGGGCGGCGGTGGATCAGGCCCACCCTGGGCCAGAGGCTCAATCCAGAAATGGAACGGAGGGCCCCTGGGTGGTGCGGAATGCCCCAAGCCTCAACGATGGGCCAAAACATTGGGGTTCAAATCTCCCTGGAGGGTCCCGGAGGACAGGCCCACCTTGAAGGTGCCTCGGAGCGGTGGACTTGAGGGCAGCTGGCAGAGACAACTATGGTGATGAAGTTTGCGGTTTGCAACGGGAACCCCTGCCCTGGCCCTGGTAGGGCGCTCAGCTGCAGACCGGCTGACGTGCACTAGCTAGTGTCCTAGTAAGTGGGAGCCCACCACCCCATAACCGAGTCCAGCTGCCCCATAGGGTCTTCCAGGCGGCCATGGTCATGGGGGCGATTGCAGGCCTTTCTCATGTAGCTCTGCAACCGCCCGCCTGCTAGTGAACAGCTGCACACACTCACACCCCCCACATACTCACACACCAAGCAGACACACACCCAGCACACACACACACAGCACACACACACACACTGACACACAGCCACACACGTGCACCCAGACACACAGCCACACACAGGTACACCCAGACACACACACACACACACAGACACACACCCAGACACACACGTACACACACACACTGACACCCAGCCACACACAGGTACACCCAGACACACACACACACAGACACACACCCAGATGATTGCCACAATTGCTGGAAGGAGTTGTTGAGGTCTCGCCAATGGGGCAGTGGCCATTTGGAGCCGAGGGCAGAACCTGTTCTGGGCGCAGGTCTGCGTGGCCCCGTGCCCCCAGCCTGGCCAGCATCCCAGCCTTCTCCACGAGCTGCGGTCCTGGCTTAATCCTTGCCGAGTGTTTTCTTTCCATAGATCAGATTTCTCATTTGTTAATAAGCACGGCCCCCAAGCCACTTGAAGTCAGCTGTTGTGGCCGCAGGAGCCACGGGGCTTTGCGTGCGTTACTGAGCTGAAGGCCTGCTGCCTTCATGGGGAGTGGGGGTGGCTTTCGAATTGTCTGCCAGGCTCAGACCTGGTGGGGGTGGTGCCAGTGGCCCACAACACCCCACAGCAGTGCAGACCATGCCTCTTCCTGTTAAGACCCAGCAGATCTGCCCCTAGCAGATTTTAAGGTGGTTGGGTAGGTTTGAACTGCTGACCTTTGGGTTAGTGGCCTTACAATACTTGACCCACTACCTTTGAGGAGATCCCAGCACACAAGGGTTGTGTGAAGCAGTCTAGTTATCACAGAGGGAGCTGACTGCTGAGTGTGTCTCCCTCCAAGTGGCTTGTGGGTTTGAACTGCCGACATTTGGTTTACTGCCCAGCACGCAAGTGAGGCTTGCCACCGAGGCTCCTGTGTGAGACAGCTGGGGCTTTGACTCCACAGCCAGGCCTGGAGAAGGGTTCTGCCCAGAAGTGGAGGCAGGAATAAAGTTCAGTTTACCCAGGGGGCCTGGCGGCGCTGCTTTTTCACTGGGCCTCGTGGCCTGGAGCGGTCTGCCCCACCCTACCTAGTCTTGCCCATGGGAGCTAGCCTGCCCAGATCACCCCAGGGGGTGGGGGCGGGGTGCTCCTCCCCCTGGGCTGGGCTGGCCTGCTTTCACCATCCCTGAGATAACAAGTCAGGCCCCTCCCCAAGGGCTCCTTGGAGACCCTGGCCCTGCCACTCGCCCTCTGAACTCAGTGCTGGGAGCAGGGCAGACGCTT